TCTTAAATAAAAGGTTACTTACATATCTGCCCCGCTTGTACCAATATCACAAACACTCCTTATTGCTAAAATCTTCTTACAACTAATCAAAGGACGCTTAATCACGCTTTTATATGGGCGTGGGGACGCTAAAGTCTAGTACCTTTCAAGATGGTACTTTTAGCAGTAAAATTGAGTATTGCATAATTCTTCGATGTGTTACTGCTTCATCKATTAATCTTTTATATGATTGTTTCAACGCAACCTTTTTGCTTATTGATGAATTAGGTGCCAGAAAACTTACAGTAGGTGTAGAGTGGTTGGACTGGAACAACACCAGTCCAGAGTTGAGATGGAAATTCCTTGGCAACAAGGAATTTGCCRCACTATCAAAAKCAACTCTGGATAACCAAGGTATGTGTTTGCCGAGAAGTAAAAGATATGTCTCCTGAGTCAAAAGCCATAATTGCAATCCCTGTCCCAGCAACAACCACAAGCTAATACTAGCTAATATCCACCGTCTTGGGTTTGTGTAAAATGTGGTGAATATGAGAGGGGAGAAGGAGGACGASTTAGGTSGAGAGAGTTATATCTCACTCATACTTTGACATTTCATACTTTGACACTCATACCTTGTCATTTACATCTACTCCTTATGACTACTCGGTTGTAAAAGTTTAGCGAAATCGGCTGAGCCTAATCTTGTAATCATTTTAATAGGTATGAGTGTACTGCAGATATAATAATCTCGAAATATAACTTTGTCCTTAGATAACTTATTGAATCAGCATAATGTATCATTAGTTTCGGTGCCAATATACCTTGTAATCATTGCATGCAGGGTTTTCTCGAATAGTATAGAGAGTGTTTAGATTCACGTTTTAGGTTTACCTAGGCAAATGTCAAACAAACCAAAAAAGAAGAAAACTTCGAAAGGAATAGTGTTGCACATGTGTATGAGAAAACAATCCAATTTATACACACACATCAATGCACAAAAGCATCAGTGGTCACGTGATAAGTTTGATGTTTGGCATTCACTGTAAACTTCAATACAAAACTAACGAATCATAACTCAATAAACTGATAAGGTTACTGAGGGGACTGCATGCTTGCTATACTTTAAATATTTGCTGTTATCTAATTTTATTAAACATTTTGTGCTTTATTTCTATCTAGCCAACCAACTTCAAGGTCTACAGCCTGGCATAGATGTGTTGTTAAATGGTACTGCACATTTTATTGTCCCAACCAAACCGAACATTGAGTCATTTACAATGTGTTTTTGGATATCTTCGAATGCAACCACGCCAAAATTGGTGAACATTACCGTTGAAACCAATATGGAGATGTCATTGGATGTTTTCATTTGCCGGTAAGTATTTTAT